TAAAATGTACTAGAACTTAGAATTTAATTTAATCTTTTTCTTTTCATAATAAAAATTTCAAAAAATATATATTAGGATTAGTTTTTCTTTTATAACTTAGAATTATTTCCCATTTAATATTTAGTTTTCTTAATCAAATTTAGAATTAATTTTTTTTCTTTAACAAAACCCAAAAACAAAAAAGATTTTTCTTAGAATTTTTCTTAGATTCTTAGATGTATTGTTTTATCTTGCGCGCATTTATTTTACTTTCACATTTTTATGATAATGTAATTGTATCCTGGTATGTAATAGACTAAGTAGGGCTTTTTATCGCTTTCTTTATTTTGCTTTTCCCCCAGTTTTGTACATTGTAAATACCCCCCTCCGAAAGCCATGTAATAGTCTAGATTTACGTTTTCCACACTTTATTTTCTGTACATATTAACTGCTAGTAACTAGGCGTGTATGAAAAGACTAATAATCAAACGTTAGCAAACTTAACAAAAAGATAAAAAATAACTGAATTGAACACAGTTGCATACAAGCACCTCTAGGGTATCCCACTTTGGTTGCCTTTAAGAAATAAAACATTCATGAGGCAGAAATACTTTAGCAAAGACCCATAAATCAAAAGATCATGGTCCCTCGATGACCCTGCAGTTGCCTTTTCGGTAAATGATCTAGTCCCTAAAAGAAAATTGCTAAAGTGTCTCAACAAGTTGCCTTCATGACTATAAAACGTCCATTCGATTGTCCCTCAAACACTCGACGATAAAGTTACCTACTCACTAATAGTAGGATATCATTGTCTAAAGGAAAAGAGGAAAAGAACGACCCTTTTCGAGTAATAAAGTAGATAGCTGTTAGAAGTTCGCTCAAACATTTTGCACTTACACAAACACTACTTTTCAAAAACATTTCAAAACACTTTGTATACTTTCTCCACTATCCCGAGAAACATTACAAAATTTGCCGCACTAAGGCGTTTTCAAAACATTTTCAAACACAAAGCACAAATGTATTTTAAAAATGAGCAAACCACTAAGAGCCCGTGGAAAACCACGGATGGAAATAGTGCTAACACCTTCCCTTTCCATAACCTACCCCTTACTCAGAAAATTCTCAAAAAGGTCTTTTTCTGTTCTTTTCACCCATTTCTTTGTCGGATAAAAGAAAAGGCGGTGGCGACTCTTGCTTACTGCAACATTTGCGAATACAAAACGCAAACCAGTGTTAACAGTTGGTTCTGCCACCGTATCACAATTTCAAATTTGCACACACAACAAGATTTGAGATATAAATGTACAATTTAGCAATATCAATATTGTTAGTTAGAATTACATTTTATCGCTTGAATATATATATTTATAAGTGTTAATTTAGAGGTGACAAACAAATATGTCCGTTCTGTTTATACTCATTCTATCTCGTTAAAATTACAACATATGTGATAGATAAAATAGAGAGTCTGAGTCGAAAATCTTAAATCACCTAAAAAAAACAAATAAGAAGGTGTGTGACGGACCCGACCCATTTAACCATCTCTAAAACCTAAAAAGTGGGAACGGTCATGCCATTTCCTTTTAGATCAAATTACTGTAAAAAAATAAATAAAAAAGGGTCGGGCGAGCTGAAAATCTTGATTTTGCAAGCCAAAAATTGCAGACTCGACTTGTTTACTATCTTTATTTAAAATTTTGTAATTACAATCTCGGGTAGCTGTCAATATTAAAGAGTTGTTGTGATTGCTAGCTAGCAACTATAAGATAGTTAAGAGAACATAAGTTTAGGTAAGATTATCTTTATTTTAAACGTCAAAAGTACACTGAATCCATTCGACTCTTCGTTTAAGAAAAGACAAAAATCATAAAAAATTAGGTTTCATATTAACCAACTTTCAAAATATTTAATCATTTATACTATATCTTTTATTTTATGCTAAATTTTCTAAAAGTGAAATTAATATAATTTCTAACAATATTTATTTTTAAGTATCTCATTCTATGTTTTGTGGTACGCTACCTACTAAAAACAATAAAAACTCATGAACCCCGAATGACTCAATCACACATGAATATCACCACCACCTTCAACAATAATAACAATACATCCAATTTTTCTGTTTATGCTTCCCTTTTTTTTAATCTTTCCTCATTTTTCATCTTTTCATTTTTGTTTTACCTCTCTCACACCATATAAGGTTTTTCATCTTTTCATTTTTTTACCTCTCACGCTGTCTCCTTGTATCTATATATAGCATCAGTTTCTCATCAAATCTTCTTAATGCAATTCCCATTTACTCTTTATTATTTTATAAAGTGCCTTCTAAAGTGTTACTTGAGGAAGTGGAGGATTATAGAGAGTAAGAAGCGGTGTGGAGTAATATCCTAAGGAGCAGATATGATAATCCCATCATCAAGGTGTTAATCGGTGGGAGGAAGCTGCGTGGTCGTGGAACCTTACGGAAATGGTGGATAGCATTGGAGAAATCAAGCCAAGCTTGTGGGAGGATTTTAGATCGTGATGCTAAGGACAATTATGTTTGGATGAAAGAAGAGGATGGCATCTTTTTGGTAAAATCCTGTCATGCTCTTTTTTCTGTGGGTAACTTTGTTACTTCCCTCACCAATGATGTAGTGAAAGTTATCAATCATTTATGGAAGGTTAAAATTCTGTCTAATTTGTTAATCTTCTCATGGAGATTTATCCTCAATAAGATTTCTATCATAGATGAATGGTTGAAATGGGGAATTTTGACAAATATAAGAGATTTAAGTTGCGTTTATTTGCTTTAGGAAAGATGAATATATATCACATCTTTTATGGATTAAAGTTTATAGTTCGATTGGATTCCTTTTGGAAATATCTTTGGGAGAGTTTGTGTGTTTCTTTTTCTATTGCAAGAAGGTGAAGTGTAAGTTGAAGAGGACAATCGATGCGGTGATAAACTATTGTTTGGAGTTTTTGATTGATGCATAATATGTTATTTTAAAGGAGTTGTTCCCAATTTTGATGAGTGTATGTAGCGTTAGTTCTTAGGTCGTAGACGTGGTTGTGCTCTTTTTGTAATATTGTTGATTGTTGTAACTTTTATCTTTGAAATATTCTATCTCTCCTATGTTTTAAGATGTAGGAGTTTTTCAAAGTGTGTTTTGGGATGAAATATCTCTTATATACTCCCTTTTAATGAAATTCTTGTCTATTAAAAAAATAGATGTCGAAGGAGGTCAATATATATTTAAAAATTAAAGGGAATGTTAGTGTCATTTTAACAGATTTTGTCTATTAAAAAAATAGATGTCGAAGGAGGTCAATATATATTTAAAAATTAAAGGGAATGTTAGTGTCATTTTAACAGATTTTGAGTGTATTTTTTCATAAATATTATGAAATTATTAATTTAATTTAATTTTTTTAAAAATTCGTTTAGAACCGAATAATCCGAACCGAATTTTCGAATTCATAATATAATATGACTTTTTTAACTGAGTCCTTAAAAATTCGAAAGCTACTGAGACCAACCCGTTTAAAACTGAATAATGTTCCCCTACCGTTACTAAATATAATAGTACTGTCTTTAAGATAAAAAACAACATTACAATGACATTAATTAAAAGATTAGGACTAATTGCATATTCTAGAGTCTATGAATCATGATTAATCTTAAAGCACGGTTAGGCTAGACTAGACTACTATTAATATACAGCAACATTTAAATGTCACGCGTGACACTCTGAATTTTTCTACAAATGGAATTATATTTTCTATTGAGGTTTTTCTAAATCTATTTTTGTGTTGTTGTTTACTTGTCAATAAAATTAGCTACCTATCATTCACAGATATAAAGTGTTTTTTTACCTACAAAGAAATTTTTATAAACTATATGTACTTGTTGATTTTTATTAATGATTGATAAATTATTTAAAGAACAATTTTGAAGTTCTATATAGATTAAATTGTAAGTACCACTTCTAATTCACACACAGACATAAAACAAAAACAAGGCTCGAGATGAAGATGTACAATCTGGCAATATCAATAGTGTTAATTAGAGTTAAATTTTGTAAATTAAATATATATTTTTTATTATTAAAATAGGAGTAACAAAAGAGTATGTCCATTCCATTTAATTTAATTTAATTTCAATAAAATTTCTAAAAAATTATGGTGACCGTGACAAATAAAATAGAGAGTATGCATCAGACACTTTGATTTGCTCTTTAAAAAATGACGGTAAATAGATTGTCGGCCAAACTCAACCCGTTTGGCCACCTCTAAAACCTAAAAAATAGAAGAGGCCATGCGGGTTCTATTTAGACCAAATCATACCATAAAATGAGACACAATAATATGTGTAAGTTAAAAATCTTGGCCTGACGTAACAAAAATTGCAAATGCAAGTCTTTTCTAAAGTTGTAATTTCAATCTCTCATAGATGTTAGTAATAAAAAGTCAGTGTGATTGCTAGCTAACAACTATATCTTTTATGCCAAATTTTCTAAAAGAGAAATTAATTCAGAATTTTTATTTTAAAGTATCTGATGTATTTAACACTTTAATCTTTATGTTGACATACCTAGTTGTATACACTATTGATGTGTCAAATAGTCATTAATAAGGTAAAGGGGTTTGTTACGCTACCTACTAAAAACAATAAACCCTCATGAACCCTGAATGACTCAATCACACATGAATATCACCACCTTCAACAATAATAACAATACATCCAATTTTTCTGTTTATGCTTTCCTATTCCTTTTTTATTCTTTCCTCATTTTTCATCTTTTCATCTTTTTTACCTCTCTCACTCCATGTCCTTATATGTATATATAGCATCAGTTTCTCATCAAATCTTCTTCATTCTGAACTACCTAGCTTGCATGAGATTGAGGGGTTGATTTGGAAGAAAAACCAACCCTAGGTTTTTCCTCTCCCAAATCCTAACCCTAAAACTTGTGCTTGCTTTTTCTTTTCTTTTTCTCTAACAAAATCTCAACAAGAATATCAACAACAGAATCATGTCTAATTTCATTGATATGAGCTACTACCCTGAATTAGCCAAATATTTTGGTGTACTAGGTAACATATACATTTTCTTTCTTCCATTCTTTTTCTTCTTTTTCTAACACTCACAATAAAGAATTAACATATTTTTCTTTTGATGAATATAGGTAACATCATTTCCTGCATGGTGTTCTTAGCTCCGGTGTAAGATCATTTAAATATGCCCATTTATTTCAAGTTTGTAAATAAAAATATAAAAAATTTAATTAATTTTCTTTGGCATGATGAATATGTATTTATATATTTATTATTATTGCAGGAAAACTTTTTACCGAATATACAAAAACAAATGCACTGAAGGATTCCAGTCACTACCATATTTGGTAGCATTGTTCAGTTGTATGCTTTGGCTATTCTATGGAATTATCAAAACAAGATCGATGTTTATCGTTACCATTAACTCAATTGGATGTGGCATAGAAGTTATCTACTGTATCATGTACATAGCCTATGCCCCCAGAGCTGCAAGGGTAATTAAAAAAAAAAATTCTAATTCATAAATTTTAATTTTTATTAAGTAACATATAACAAGAACTCACCATTAATTGACATAAAATTATTTGTTTCAATTGCAGAAATCAACCATAAAAACATTTGTGGCAATGAACGTTGTTTTATTCACCTTGATTTTATTGGTCACACAATTTGCTATACCTGAAGACCATAAAGTCCATATTCTAGGTTGGATTTGTGTCGTTGTTTCAGTGATTGTGTTTGCATCACCTCTAATGATTGTGGTAAGTGAATAATAATTATGATAATTAAAACTAATTTTTATATTAGTTACATGTTATTAATTATTAATTAATGTGTAGGTACGAGTTGTTAAAACAAGAAGTGTACAGTTTATGCCCTTCAGTTTGTCACTTTTCCTTACATTGAGTGCAATTATATGGTTTGGACATGGTTTCTTTAAACAGGATGTGTGCATTTATGTAAGTATATACATATTTAGTTAAATTAATCAAATAATTAATAATTAGAACTTTCACGTAATTAACACATTTGTTTTTGGCAGCTTCCGAATGTGGTTGGATTTTTATTGGGGATAATTCAGATGGTGTTATATGCTTATTACTCAAAATATGGTGATAACAATGATGATAAGCAAGATCAAGGGATAAGTATTGCTGTTGTGAATCCATTAGATGAAAATGATGATATTATTGAGGAAGTGAATAGTCAACAACTTCAAGTGAAGAAGCATGGTTTGGAAGATGAAAACGAGAAGCAAGGGAAAAATGTGGAAGCTATATAGTTAGGAATTGTGTGATAATATTATATATATGTATGATAATATACTCTTAAAAAATGTGAAGTGCATGAATGAATCATGATGGTTTCAAGTAGTGATTCTATTGTACCTTGGTTATGCATGTGTGACTTCATCAACAAAATCAATTAATATCTACTCCCCATCATCATGTGTGCAAACTTTAAAGTTTAATCATACTTAATTAATAGTATATATTATTTTACTCTCATTACAAGAAAATTTTTCTCTTGCGACGTGATTTTGTAATGTGATAATCATGTGATAAAAAAAAAATTACGACATGATTATCACATCATTACTTATTTTTAATAATAAAATATTAAGTCTACAACGTTCATATGTGAAGTCAGATTTTATTTTCAAAAATAAAGTTGTGGCGTGGTAATCACGTCACAAGTTAAAAGTTAAAATAAAAAATGAAAAGTCTATAACATTCACATTTTAAATTTTATGTTGTGACGTATTTATCACGTCGCAACACTTAAGTTGAAATTTTTTTGAAAAATTAAGTGGAAAAGTTGACTAACTAGCATGTGATGGTGCCAGGTGACTAACTAATTTCTAATTGTTGGTGTGTTGCGACGTGAATATCACGTGACAAAGTTACGACGTGATATTCACGCCACTGATTGGATTATTTAATTTAATCGTTAGTGATTTGTGACGTGAATATCACGTGGCGAAGTTGTGACGTGATATTTATGTCACTGATTTGCCTATATAAATTAACCTTATCTCTTCCCAGAACCATACACTCTCTTCTTTTCTCTTTCCTGCTTTCTTCTCTTTTCTCTTTCAAGAATCTCATTTCTTCTCTAAATAACTTCTTCTTCTCTTATTTTCTGTTTCACTTCTTACCGTCAATTTCATAAATTTCCATTGCAAAGTGTTGCGACGTGAATTTCACGTCACAACTTTGTGACATGAAATTCACGTCGCAAATAAATTGTCACGCGCTCCTCAGTGACATGTCTAGTCACGTCACAAAAAACGTATAGTAACATGATTTTCCTTATTATAATGTGAAAATTACGTCGCAAATGAACTTTTTTTTTGTAATGTTTTATTTATAAATAAATTTTACTTATTTAATTTTTTGGAGTGTCTAATTTGGATCTCTTGAAAAATTAGACTTAAATATATTTTAAACTATATATTTAGTACTTTGTTTTCAATAACTTTTTAAGTACTATTACTTCTTAACGAAATTTAATTGAATGCTAATTTGAAAAGATTATACATTAGTGAATGTATATTGAAGTTATGCTTGTAAAATTTATAATCAATGGATTAATGATTGTTATTTTAAGATAAATTATTTGAAAGAATTTGAGTTTCATGAATTGGTGAAATTTGACTTATCTTGTAGATGATTTGTTCTTGTACTTGTTAAAAAGTACAGTACGTGATAACCCTTAGCGATTAAGGATTGTAAGAGATTTTAAAGTATGTTATGGAGTTGAGAGCTAGTTCACGAAAGGGTGAGAATCTTTGTATATGTGATTTACTCTATGAGAGTGAGATTATCCTTTTCAACTTCATTAATGTTTAGGTATTTATAGCAGTCCTGAACATGAATCCTAGTCTCCTTAGGATAAAAAAGCACAACTCAGAGGGTCTGGAAGTGGACGATTAAACCACCTCTCTTTCGAAGAATGTGATCAAATGACTCCTTCACACCGTTACGAAAATAGGGGCACACCATTTTCCCAATTTCCTATCTCGGACGATCATTTAAAGAGGGAGGTGGCATATTCAAAAAAGGGGAGACACGTATAGTCAGCGGGCACTCGAACTAGATAACAACGATTAGGAAGACGCTATGTGTTAGAACATAGTTTGGTTCTACGTCTTAGTAATAGTTTTGATGATAATAAATACATGATATATATATAAATAACAAATATGCTCTCTAATAAATTATTTAAATATGCATAGAAGTTCTGACAAAAGAGCATAGAAGATGATGAGAGTATTTGCATTTTGAGGTTCTGATTAGACAAAACGTATAGACTTAGAAGCAAATCTGTGTAACACTCTCAATAGAAGAAGTTCAGATGTTATAACTTCTGAAGCACCAAATCTCCAAGCTAAATTCTGATACTCTGATAAGTGAAGTTCTAGAAGAACAAAGGAAGTCTCAACGCACTCATCTATTTTGAAGTTCTATGACTTATCACTTAAGGTCAAACTATACTCTGATAAGTGAATATTTTGAAAGTACAAAAAAGCTTTAACATGTCTGTCTCATCCAAGTTCTGATCATATGAATCTCAAGAAACTCTGATGATCTAAAGTCTCAATGTTAATATTCTTATTTTGATTAGATTTCAAAGAAGGAAAATTCTGATGTTACAATTCATTCATTACAAATTAAAGAGTAATGGCTTGAAGAAGACAAGATATGTATTTTTGGAAAGTGCATTAACAATATTTTATCAACCTTCCAAAGATAATTTCTTATGTCTCCAACGATTCAATTCACTTCCTTTATATAAAGAGACTATGAAGATGGATCAAAGAGTGAGCATATACAATAGAAATATTTAAGAAAATCACACGCGCATATCAAACAAGAGTAATCAAATTCTCTATTTTATCTTTGTGCTTTAATCTTTATGTAAACATCACAATTGTGATATATATTTTTAGAAGCATTTGTTAAACACATTATTTATGTTAGAAAAGTTATAATTCCTTGAGATACCAAGTTGTGGTTTAGTCTCAAGAAGATATTGACGGTACTCTCTGTGAGTTATAAGTCCTTGAGAAACCAAGTTGTGGTTTAATCTCAAGAAGACATTGATAGTTGTCTTCGTGAATTGTAACCAAGTATTGATTATTGGATTAAGACCTCAATTGAGAGAGGCGAATTCACCTTGGCGGGTGGACTGGAGTAGTTAGAGTTCAAATGAACCAGGATAACCAAACGTGTCATACTGTTTTAAATTTTTTAAAACCCCAATTCAACCCCCTTTTTCTTGTGTTTTTCTAGCCTTCAATTGGTATCCGAGCTCCCGGTTCTGGGTGCTAGCACTTAATCGTGTCAGAAAAAGATCCTAAGAAAGAAAAACACTATGGTGGAACCAAGTCAAAATAACAACAACGAAAACCATGATGAGAAGGACAAAATCAGTGGCAGACCGCCAATCTTTGATGGAGAAAACTTCGATTACTGGAAAGACAGAATTGAGAGTTTCTTTCTAGATCATGATGCTGATCTCTGGGACATGTTAAATGATGGCTACATTCATCCAGTCGATGCAAGCGGTCAGAAGATCGATAGAAAGAAGATGATAGATGAGCAGAAGAAAGAATTCAGAAACCATCACAAAGCTAGAACAATCCTTTTGAGTGCCATCTCATATATTGAGTATGAGAAAATCACTAACAGAGAAACGCCTCAGAACATGTTTGAATCTCTAAAAATGACGCATGAAGGCAACACACAAGTCAAAGAGACCAAAGCTCTTGCACTAACTCAGAAGTATGAAGCCTTCAAAATGGAAGAAGATGAAATTATTGAGACAATGTTCTCAAGGTTTCAAATTTTGGTTGCTGGTTTGAAAGTTCTGGACAAAGGATACTCCACAGCAGATCATGTAAAAAAAATTGTCATAAGCTTGCCCAAGAAGTGGAGACCTATGGTCATAACTTTAAAGTTATCCAAAACTTTGAACACCATATCACTAGAGGAACTAATAAGCTTTCTGAGAAGTCATGAGATAGAACTAGAAGAAGATGAGCCCAAGAAGAAAGGTAAACCTCTTGCTCTTAAATTTAATAAAAAAATATGAAACTAAAGCTTTTGAGGCAGAAGAAGAAAGCTCTAGTGGGTCCTCATAAGAAGAAGATAAATTATCTCTTCTCACCAGAAGATTCCATCAGCTATGGAAGCACAGACAAAGGAAATTCAAAAACTCTAGAAGAACAAGTAATCACTTTGAATCATCCTCTGGATACATAAAGTCTAGTAACAAAGTTGGCGTCTGCTATAAATGCAAAGAGCCAGGTCACTACAAAAACGACTTCCCCAAACTCCATAAAGAAAAGCCTAAAAAGAAGTTCTTCAAAGAAAAGAAGAAAATTCTTATGGAAACGTGGGATGACTCAGAATCTTCTGAAGCAGAAACTGAATCAGAAGATGAACAAGCCAATATAGCATTAATGGCCAACATATTAGAAGACACAGACACATCAGAATCTGAATCTGAATCAGACTCAGAAGAGGTATTTTCAAAATTCTCTAGATCTCAATTAGAAGATAATTTGTCTGAAATTCTTGAAAGATATCAACAACTTCGAGTAAAAAACAAGAACCTGAAACACGTTCTAGTATCTGACTCTGAAGAAACAGGGAAACAAAAATAAGAAAATTCTGAGCTAAAAGAAACCATCTATAAACTTAAAAATGAAAATTCTATTATTAAAAATGAGTTACAAAAAGCTCAGAAAGAATATGTCTCATAAGTTTCAACTAGTTCTGATAACATCATAAAAGAATATGATCACATATTTCAAAAATTTCTAGCTAGAAACATAGATAGAAGCAAGATGGCCTCTATGATTTATGAAGTTAGCAGAAACGACAGAAAAGGTATAGGATATGTGAAACCAAAAGGGAAAGAACCATATCAACCAAAACAAGTTGATAACATGGTCATAAAATACACACTCTTAAATTCACATTTCACATATGGACACACACATGACATAAAATACACTAGTGAATCTTATTTTGTGAACTCTTATAAACCAAAACTCAATCATAATTCTGGAAAGTCTAACAAACAAGGACCCAAATAGATATGGGTACTAAAGGATAAAATTATCTATGTTGCAGATGTCTTTAACAACAAGGTTGAAACACCAATCTTGGCACCTAGACTCAGAATGCTCTCGATAAATGACAGGAAGAAAGCATATGTTCCAAAGCTTGGAACTTAAAGCTGGAGGATACGTAGGTTTTAGAGGCAATCAAA